GTGTGTGTGTGTGTGTGTGTGTGTGTGAGTGTGTGTGTTTACAACTTTGTTTGGGGAGGAGAAGAGGAGGTAGAGAATGGTAAAGGCTAAATCAGTGGAACGAGCATTGCTGATCTTGTTTAACTAGCTAGGTACCCTGTTCGATGAACGGACTCAAAAGAATCGATCATAAAGTCATTGTGGAACCAATATGCACTGTTTGTGAACGGAACCCTCATTTGTTTGCAATGGCGTCTAAGAAGACGAACTTTCCCAAGATTAGATCTAAACGAAACTAATGAAAAACTGAAAATTAAACTACTGTGACTTCAGACTCCATATTCTAACTGTGCCCCCCTTTTTAAACGATTCTGAACCACCGCTAATTTTGTCACATTCGAAAGTCAAGTGGTTGGGAAGTTTAAGCGACCAAAGTGACGAACTTTCACAAATACAATACATGTATACAGATTAAAGATAACAAAAATTAACACACAAATAAAAACAAACAGAAAAAAAGAAGAAAAAAAAAGAAAAAGGGTTGGGGTTGAGTAGGTGGATGAGAAGGAAGAAAAGAAAACTGAAAATCAACAAACAAAAACGAAGGAAATTATTTTATGATTTTAAGCTGCAAGATGTTCGCCGATCGAACTCATGCAGTTTTCTGTCCAGTCATTTCGTATATCGCAACGATGGTTATAGTGTCGTAGTTAGTCTAGCTCGTTGTCTCTGGTCGACATCATATTAATTACAGAATTACCAGACAAATAATGACATTACGTGCTATGAGAGTAAATTTCTTTGTCCAACTTAAGAAGTGAATGTATTGTGACGACACAATGCAGTCTTGCTTTACAATTTCTTTACGACTTGATGTTGCGATCGTTTATAACAATGTCTTGTAGATTCCAACTGTCCTTGTCTCTTCTTAATGATATAAAACAACAACTAGATCTAGTTGTTTCTCCATCATCTGGGTCCTTGAAATACGACGACTGGTGCTGTGTAAAGAGAGTCACATGACTTCTCTCGAGAGGGAGCGTTTTCGATATATTAGTCTTGTCAGATTGTTACATTTCTTATATGAAAGTTTGATTCTGACTGCAATTCTCTGACCAAATTGACATCATAATAATATTATAGATCCCTGTAGTCGTGCTGGGTGAATTGTAAGTTAGGGAAAGTAAAAAATAAACTCGCTTCCGAAGAGGATACATCAAAGACATCTCATGGAGACTAAACCTTGATTTTGAATAAAACACTGTTAAATCAAGCTGTTGAAAACTTGTTCTTGAATTGCACATCTGATTTATTCATTGGTGACTGATTATTTTTAAAAAAAGGGGGGGCTGGTTTTGAATTGACGATTTTTGGTCAATGTATGGTATCCGGACTTTCTATGTATTATAGTATTCCAATCACTTGTAAATCGAAAAAGGGCTTACTCTTTGTGTTACAATCATCATCTTTCACATTTTCTGTCCTAGAACTTTCATTTTCACTTTTTATGTCACAGAATGTCGTTTCTTTCGCAAAATGTCAAAATGTGATATTTTTTCTCATCTACTTTTTTATTTTCCTTTTGGTTTCAATGAAATTTTCAGGGCTTGTTATTCACACCTTAATCTAACTTTATGCAGGTGCAAAATAAAATCAATGCTTTCATGAGTGAGTTACATGGATGAATATGTGATCGGATTCAGAGACATGAGGGGGTAGGTCAGTTATCCATATCTAAATTTTTTCCTAAGCAAGATATCCAAAATCACAACTTTACGATATTTTGTATTGAGTATATCTATCAAGGTACCAAATTTGATTAGTAATTAAAAAATCTATTTTAATTTTTTGAAAGCTGTTTATTTTTAATATGGCGCCCGTTACCATGGCAACCGTAGACTTAAACAAAAAAATTAAAGTTACATTTTACATATATATGTATTCCTGTTATACCTTATTGCTATAAGGCTTTATCTAAAAAGGCCATAGTTACCGAGATAGGTTTATAAACCACCCCCCCCCCTTAATATTTTGGCTTCAGGCGTTCCACCCCATGAATTGAAAGAAAACGAAGCGCGCTTTCAGAGTTAAAGTTGGGATATGGGATCTGGAATATGGATGCGATACATGGGAAACAAGTGGTGAGAGATGGGAAACAGAAGGTGGGATTTGGAAGATGGGACTTTGGTCATATGTGTACAATAATGAATGTATAGCACCGGGTCAGCCTGAAAACCGACGCAGATAGAAAAAGACTGGAAACAATAACTCTTATTGTAATTTTCCCTCTTTCTCTCCGCCCCCCACCTCCCCATCCCCCTTCTCTCTCTCTCTCTCTCTCTCTCT